CCCGGTGCCTCCTCCTCCCTGGCTCGGGGAACACAGACACAGCCAGACTGGGAATGAGCCAACCCTGGCTGCTCCCGCACCCAGCACCCATCCCCAGAGCCATGTATCTCGGTGCTCAGCCTCCCCAGGGCATGCCAGGGACAGGTTTGCAGCTCCGGCACTCGGCTCCTATGCAAATCTCTGCTTCCCCCGGCACCGCGGCTGCCTGCACGGCAGCGCGGGTGTGTGTGCACCCACCGGCTGCAGCCCTGCATGCACAGCCTGCAGCAGCACGCTGCCCTCCCTGCCTGCATCCCTGCCTGCGCTGCCCTCCCTGCCTGCATCTCAGCACCCCAGGTGAGCCCCAAGGGATGGATCCTGCTGCCGTGATTCCAGTCATCCCAGTGCCACACGCTCTGCAGGGCTCTCCCTGCCCCAGCTGCTCCTACAGCGAAGCCTCAAGGTGCTGGAGCCACTGGGGTGCACCCCTCTGCCCACAGCACCCTGTTGGGGTGCAGGGAGGTGCTGGCTGGCCCCACACCGCAGGACCCAGTCTGCAATAGGAACCAAGTCCTTATGCTGTTCAGTGCTGCTGTGCCTGCAGGGTGGGAGAGAGCTGCAGCCCAAGGACACAGCAGAGACACAGGCTGGACACACGCCTGCGTGCACCCAGCGCATAGGGAAACCCCCCACTTGGGATGGGACCACAAATGCTGCGAGCCCCAGCATCACTGCCCCATCCTGCCCCACAGCCGGGATGCTGGCATGCACTGCCTGCACGTGTGTCCTTAGCATGCACCAGGCCATGCTTGCACACACACACAGAGCACCTACTCATACCTTAGTGTGTGAGGAGGGCTGGTGCCTGGCCTGGAGAAGCAGCTCTTTTTGGCTGCTTTTGGGCCCTGGCAGCAGCATGGATGCTCTCCCTGCTCTGGCTTCACTTGATACTGAGGATGGTGCTCCCGAGGCGAGGTGGGGCTGGCGCCTTCCTGGTGCAGTTAACGCAGGGGCCAGCACCCCATTTATTTCCATCACCCCCAGCTCCCTGCTGCCCATCCCTGTGCTCTGAGAGGAAAACACTGATTTTCCCTGATAACAGCAGTGCTGGTTCCCGCGGCCCAGATCCTGCCTGGCCTTACACACACGAGCAGCTGCGGGGAAGCCGCTCCATCCCCTTGCTCAGGGGTAACGGCTCCCAGACCTCTGGAGCTCACTCCTAAACACACGCGTGAGCCAGTTCAGGATGCAGAGCACGGCCCCGCAGGGGCAGCTGGAGCATCCCGGGAGCGCCCCCCGTGGCTTCGGTGCCCTGTGCTTGTCCCCGTCCCCATCCCCATCCCGCTGGGGGGTCTCTAACACGATGGGAGACGACAGGACCTCGCCCCCCCCCCCCCCCCCCCCCTCCGCTTTGCAGATGAGGAACTTTGCACTTTGATGGCTCCGTTCCATTGTTCTGCACATAAAAATCACCCCAGTTCCCTCCCCCCTCCCGGGCCGGGTCAGGAGCGCGGGGTCCGGCTCCGGGGGTGTCGCTCCCGGTCCCCCCTATGCCCCCGCCCAGCACCGCCCCTAGTGCTGGGGGGGGGACTCCGGAGTGCCGGGACTGTGCTGGAGCCTCGGGGTGGCGCTGCCCAGCTCCCCCGGAGGGGGGGGGTGAAATCACGGCTCTCGGTACCGGCCCGTTCCGGTATTTACCATTGTGCAAAGGGGGAGCCGCGGTGGGAGCACGGGGGGGCCCCTCCGGGCCGCCCCCCCCTCCCCTCCCCGTGCGCGTGCCCCGGTCCCCGCAGCCCTACCTGCTCCGAGCGGGCGGCGGCGGCGGGGCCGCGCCGCGGCGGCGGCGCGAGGAGGAGGAGGAGGAGGAAGGAGGGAGGAGGGACGAGGGAGAGCAGCGGACAATGGCGGGGCGCAGCGCGGCGCGGGGCCATCTCCCGGCGGGCCGCAGCATTGCACGGAGCGGGGTCCCCCCAGGGCGTGCCCGCGGTGCTCCCGGCTCCCCCCACGGCGGAGCTCCCTGAGCCCCGCTGCGCTGCTGAGGCAGCCGAGAGTCCCCCGGCTGCGGGGGCCGTGCTCCCACCGCGGCAGCCAGTCCCCGGAGCACGCTATGGGCAGCGGTGGATGTGGTGTGCTCCTGCGGGCGGCCGGCGCTGCCAGGCGCTCACTGGGGGGGGTTGTGGTCACTCCCAAAACCCCGGCACCACGATGGAGAGCCACAAGCTGGGCTGGGAGGGCTGCGGGTCACAGCCCGTGGTTTGGGCTCAGTTGTGGCCGAGTGTAATTCCAGCCTCCCTGCTCACTGGAGATCCCTCACCAGGAGGTGGGAGGATGGAGAGAGGTTGTGGTGGGATTCACAGTGCCGTGCAGGGAGCTGGGACCTGGGGGTCCCCTGGTGCAGGTGGGCATCTCCAAGCCCTGATGGAAGAATGACCCCAACCAGCACCACAACTGCCTGTGAAACCACATGGGAACCATGGAGCTGAGCTGGGTGGCTGCAGAAATCACATCCCAGTGTCCCCTGCCCTGGGCAGATTATTCTTTGTCCTCCTCGAACCTAGTCTAACCCCCTCCAGAACAGCCATCCCTGCTGCACCCCGCTTTGCTGTGGGGGAAGAGGCAGATGGACCCACGGCTGTCAGTGAGGACCCCCGTCTGCCCATCAGCCCACCACACACCTCCATCAGGGACCAAGAAGGGAAACAGCCCTTGCTGGGTTATTGGAACCCGGAGCTGTGCCATCACCGTGGCATCGGTGGCTTGGATGGAGAGTGTCCGAAGGAACGTGGGCTGCAGGAGGGGGCAGGCAGAGGAGCGAAGGTAGCCATGGAGCGAAGGCAGCCGTGGAGCGCGTGGGCAGCGGCATGTATAGGCAGAGGAAAGAACGTCGTCAGAGCCCGGATAGCTCAGTCGGTAGAGCATCAGACTTTTAATCTGAGGGTCCAGGGTTCAAGTCCCTGTTCGGGCGATTGCTTTTCGTTCGGTTTTATTTTTCCCCTTCCTTTCACAATGATTTTTCCCCTCCTCAAAACCCATTTTCCCCCCGGCAGGAGCGGCTCCTACCTCCCGTGGGTCCCGGGCAGTGCCGGAGGGGGGGAATAAAAATATAAACCCACAATAAAGTATAGGAGGTGAAGAAAAATCGCAGTCGCCCGAACAGGGACTTGAACCCTGGACCCTCAGATTAAAAGTCTGATGCTCTACCGACTGAGCTATCCGGGCTCTGCGAGCGCTTCGCGTGGCCCGGTCTTATCAGTCCGCGCGGGCGCGAGGCGGGGCTCGTACCCGGCCGAGGGAGGAGTGCGGGGCGGCTCGTACCGGGCTGAGTGGGCTCGTACCGGGCCGAGGGGGCTCGGGCCGGGCCGGGCCGGGCGCGGTGGCTCCGCCCGTTGTCCCGCGGCTCCGGAGCGGGGTTCGCGCGGGGCGGGGGGGACACGCACCGCTCGGTCCTCCACGGCGGGGGTGGCGGGCGCGCTCCCCGCCCGGGCCCTCCGTCCTCTCTAGGGGTGACTTCCGTTGCGCTCTATGGCGCGGCGGCGCGGGCCCGGTGCCCCGCGGAAGCGCCGTCGCAGCCATGTTGGCTGTGAGGGGAAGCGGCGCCCGAGGCCGCGCTAAGATGGTGGAGAGGAGCCCCCGGGGGGTGTAGGGGCCCCGTCCCCCCCCTTCCCTCCCCCCGGCTGCGGCCCGCCTGGTGCCCATGGAGCAGCTGTAGGGTGAGGCCGCCTCGGGGGCACGGTGCGGGCGGTGCGGGGTGAGAGGATGCGGGGCCGGAGCTCAGCGGGGTCTCCGCTGCTGGCGCCCGAGAGGCGGACGGGAGCACCCGGGCCGGGGTGCGCATTTCTGCGTCAAAATTGGCTTCATGGGCAGAAACCACCCCGACAGATACCCGGTGCTAACGGCAGGAGCCAAACCCGCCTTGCACTGGAGAAACCGCGTCTCGGCAGCAGCATCCTGCGGCCCGGTTGTGCTGGGGGCTCGCTGTGAGCGTGCGGCCACTGCCATGAGAAACGGGCTCCCGAGCTTCGAGTGTTACCGAGCGCTGCTCCTGCTGAGCACTTTGCGCTGTCCGTTGAACTTACGTTAGCTCAAGGCTTCCTGTTGTCTGACAGGTCATGGTTTGCAGGTGGTTGATGCTTACACCAGTTGTTGCAGTAAGAAAAGGACACAAGTGGCTTTGCATTACTGCAAGGCCCCGTGAAGTGGCACCGGGACCAGGCAGCACTTGCTGGGGGGGCATCATGTGGCTCTCAAAGGACATGTATGGACTTGCTGGGAGCCCAGGGATGGGAGCAGGTGAAACCTGTGGCCCTGGAAGCACTGTGACATCACTGGTGGAGCTAGGGATGGAGTAAGGTGGGAGCTACAGGGAGGAGAAATGGGGTTTCTATCGCAGGCTGGGTGAGATGGGTGGGCAGGAGGACTTGTGGGCATGAAGAAGCCCAGGGACTCACACCGAGAGGAGCCAACCTCATTAGCTCCGAGTTGCCACGAATTGGTTGGTTAAAGCCTCCCTCCTGCGTGACTCAGTACGTGGGACAGCAGCTTTGTCCTCGACAGACATTTTGCTTTATTTGAAAGCATGAAAAAGGATGAAGGACAAAACCATCAGACCTTAACCCAGAGTGAGCCATCAGAGGCCATAAGTTATGTCTAGTTTACACTCCCTGTTTTCACTGTGCATCACAACCTGCGGTTTAGTGGGGTTTTGGTCTCTGAAGAGAAAGCAGCTCTCCTCACACACCAGGCAGATGACTTGTCCATGTGGCAAGCATGACCATATAAAGTGCTTGGGTGGAAGAAACGGTTGGTTCATGACTCCTTGGTGATTCACAGCTTCCTCTGAGTTATTGCTCTGCTCCAGCATCCATTTTCTTATAGATGCAGCTCCATGTGTAGAGGGGAAGAGCAGTAAATTCACTGGAGCTGTGTTCACTTGGCTGAAGTGAATTCGGGTGCTTCCAGGCTATGACAGGAGATAATGACAGGAGGCAAGGCACGAGTTTGCCTTTCTCTAGTAAACCCAGTACTGAAACAGTTAAAGTGATCTTGAGTTGACTCCCTCAGCCGGGGGTAGCAGTCCGTTTCCCCAAAGGCGGGGCAGGGAAAGCCACTGCTTTCTCCCATTTGTCTGCTTTTCAAACCAGCTCAAGCTCTTACCAGCAGCTGATGTGTTCAGTGACTCCCCTCTGACTCCAGCAGTTAGAGGCAGGAGAAGTTTGAGCCTGGAGGAGCTGAGCCAGGCAAGGCAGAGCTTCTCCAGCACTGCAGGAGCGCAGGGAAGCAGCAGGCCCATCCTCGTGCTCCTCCTGCCAGCAGAGAAGTTCAACGTTGGTGAGTTGGTCTCTGGCTGGTGCAAAGTACAGCTCAGCTTGCACAGCACAGAGGGTCCTGTGGGCAGCTCGTGGTGCAGTGTGCTTGGCATAACCAAGTAGAAACCTTGCTTAAAAGGTAAGGCACTGGTAGCATGGAAGTAATTTTAGCTGTTATGTCACTTATTTTGGGTTATTACCTAGATCAATGTCGTTTTTCAAACTTTAACATGCTTTAATTAAGCTTTCCTAAATATTTAGATCTGCTTGATCTTTGGGAGTGATTTTATTCCTGCTACTGCCTTACTTCAGAGAAATGCAATGCTGTAAGAACTATCAGTAGCTTCTAACAAACTCATTGCAACTCAGTTTTAATTGCTGGGGCAGGTGAGCCATGGGGTTGGGTGGTTACCAGTGCACAGTAACTTGAATTGGTGCCAGAGCTCAGGTCTCTGTCATTGCCGACTCTCTACACTGCCTGTTCAGCCTGTTTAGTCTACATGGAGATAATTTGGTTACATTCCTCAGGCAGAAGTCTGGTTTGTTTTGCAAGCATTCACTCTTTAATATAGCTGCTCATACTGGCTCCCATTCGTTGTAGCTAATGTAAGAACAGACTCATTTACTGCAGCTGGGAAATTCTGTGAAAGAATTTAGATACTGCTTTGAAAGCTTTTGCCTTCAGATTGGAACTCCTGCAGTGGTTGAAAGTCGGCAGTGCTGCCAGATTGCACGTGGAAAAGCTTTCCCAAAGATGCATCTGTATAAGCAAATTCAGGAGCCACTCTTTTCAGTTCATCACATGCTCCGGCCTTAGGCTCACCAAAGGATTTCTTGATGTTGTCTTGCAGAATAGCAACCAGATTCACACTGAAATGGAGATTTTCTTGTAACCGAGTTACTTTTTGCAGTGGCTGCTTAACTGACACCATCCTTTAAGCATAAAGACGTTTTCAAAGGTGTTGTGTGGGGTGGAGCAAACTGGATTGGGCTGTGAACATGAGTCATTAGTGATCATTCTGCATATGAAGCTGTGCTCCCTGGGTGGTGCTGAAACTGATAGGGCTTGACAAATTCAGATAGCTGCAGGACTTCCCCTTTTGTTCCTTTCCAGGAAAGGATCCTTTCACCTGCTCAAACTGTTGGTTTAGAGCCTGCATCTGGGCATTTGGGATGGAGGCTGCAGCAGCAGCTTTTGGCAGGTTTTCAGCCCTTGGCAAAGGCAGGTGGGGAATGTGTTGATTGTTGCAGTCTGCACTGACCACTCCTTTGGGCAATCAGGGAGTTGCTGTCTGGTGATTTGGAATCTGAAGGTTTCCCTTGTGGCTGATTGTGACTCACCTTCTATTCCCCCAACTCTTGACTGCAGGATTTCACCACATTAAGAGTTTGCCAAGAGCCTGATGGAGACTGGCAGTTCCCTTCAGCTGGCAGGTCCCCAAGTTCCTCACCATGTTGTGCTGCTGCTCCTTGAGATGGGCAGAGCCAAACCATCCTCAGTGCCACAGGAAATCGGTCACAGTTGTTTCCTCATGGCTGTTTGTCCAGCACTGGGCAGCTGGATGCAGCTTGGCTAAGGCAAAGCAGATCCAGTTTCAACAGAGCACATTAGGGGCACAGAAATATTAGCATTATACAGCAGCCATTTAAGAGATGCATGCAGGGCTAATTTTAAACTCTCATTTCCTGAAGCTTCTAAGAAGTGGAAGTGGTTGAACTCAAGAGCAGGTTGCTGGTACATGAACGTTCCTCTCATTTATAGGTCTCTGCTCTAAATAGCTCATCACTGCCACGATGACATCTCCAAGCTCTGCCCAGCATCCAGCAGCTGAGAATGCCTGCAGAATAGCACTTGGACAAGCTAACCAGGTAATTGCCTCTCCCACTTACTCTCACTGCTTTCTCCTTGCTAAAGCAGCAATTTCTTCCATCAAATTCAACCTCTTTGGGTACATTTAAGTTAGAAGAACTTAGCTTAATGGAGTAGGGCTTTTATTCTGAGGAGCTGTGTTACTCTCACTATCAGATCAAGGATTTATGAACATTAAAGGGGAAGGAGGGGAAAACTGCACTTCAGATTGGCCAGAGGAGAAATTGTATAATGCATATTTTTGTGCTGGACCTGTACTTGAAGTATTCTACATACAGCATCCCCCTTAACGCTGGGCTCTTTGTGACAGTTGTAGTGGGGCTGTGTAACCTTGCATGCTGACCTTTGTCTAATCAGTAATGCCTCCTTTGTAGTACTCCTCTTATTGACTATTCCTAGAATTTCCTTGGAACAAAAGGTAGTTGTATCCCTGAGCCAAGGTCACCATGATAAGTGTGTCTTAATACCATATTGACAGCCAGTCAGAAAAGAGAAACATGCAAATAACAGGAAAAATCTCATCTAAAATGCTTCTCCAGGACAGGCATCCAACCTTCCAGAGCCAATTCATTGTACAAACCATCTCTACAACATGAAGGGATGTGGCAGGACTGGAAATAAGCTGATGGGAAGTAGAGAGCCTCCCATTTGAAGCTTAATTTAGAAGCTTTGAAATGTAGCCAAGTCAGATATGCTTATTTAGCCAATTCACTCTGCATGCAAAAAGTAAATAGGCTCTGATATTAGTAGCAAAATATTGATTGTCACCACTCAGTGTCCCAGGCAGTGTGGATTAAACACTTCCATTTTGACTTTACTGTGGTAGCTAAGGGCTCATTTTAAAATGAGCAAGCTAACTAGGTTGCTTCTTTAATCAGAAAGAGATGTACAAGAAGTTACTTCAAATCCATTTGAGAGTGGTCATTAGAGAAATGAATGAGTGCAAACACATAATTTCCTCTTATTAAAATCATGTGCTGTAACAAGCACTTGAGCTGTGCTGAGCTTTTTCCTAGAGAAAAGCTGTTCTTGAGAAAGAGACTTGGGGCTGGACATGAGCTGTTCTGTTTGAGCTTGAAAATGCATTTAGTAAATACAATAAGGAGAAAACAGGCAAAGCAGACACATCCACATTTCAGAAAACAGAAATATTTTGCCAAATACCATCTGAGAGCCAAGTGATAAACAAACCCTGCTTTTCTTACCTAGTGCAGGAATATGGTGCTGCAGCTCAGGCTGTCTCTTAAGGAGATGGAGGACTGCAGGCAGGCTCTGCTCCTGGGGAAAGGAAGTTGGGTTTACCATTGCATTTATATAAGCAGAAAAAGAGGAGTGGGTGTGAGACACAAGTGAACCCACCTAACACTGATGAGTGAGGGCTTCACAGCTGGTACAGATGACATGCCTTGAGAGGATAAACCTGCCCAAAGTGCAAGGGAAACAGCAATGAACATGGTGTGCTGAGGACTGGGCTTTCTGTCCTGAGACAGATTGAAATGTCTTCCTGCACTAGCATCTGATAGACAAGGAGAACAAAAGAGGTTCAGTGTGGGAAGCATCCCTTAGTGTACAATGTACAATAAAATTGTACACAGCTGTGTAGCGTTCAAACAGTGGGTGCACAAGGCACAGGATCATGTGGTGGCACTCTCCTAGGAATTGTTGGAATTCTTGTGGAATAAATGAAGTAGCAGGATGGGGGGGAGTGAGAAGCTATTTAAAACTTGGTGCTGTTTTATATAGCATCATCTACTCAGAGCTGCTTGGGGGTGTGGGTGAAAGCTAAAGGGCTTGTGGAGCAGTTGCATCGTTCTCAGGGTGCTTTCTGTTTTATGGAATGAAAGATTCTGCTTTATGACTGAGCTGCACAGAAAATGCAGGTTCTCGGTGTTCATTAACCACGCCTTCTGTTTGATTCACTCTTACTATGTGCTTGTTCATGGAGCCTAATAAATACATAGGTCTGTACAGAGCAGATCTCACTTATTCACTGCATTAATAGAGGAAATTCAGGCACACTGCTCTTGAAGTTGCAATGTGAATGCACCATCCCTCATTGCTCCTGAGTAGATGACTCACTACATTTGGTTAGTCACTGCTCAGGACTCCATACATACCAAGGATCTGAATTTCCAGTCTTCCCTCCCAGGATGAATGACATCAAAGTTAATGGGACAATGTGAGTGATTAAAGCCTTTAGAGCTGGCTGTCTGTGCAGATTCCTTGTGAAAACGAATCCCAGCCTTCAGCAGGTTAGCCTGAGGCAAGCAGTGCTTTCCACGACCTCCACCTCATCCCTGGCTTGTCAGCTCTGTGCTTGCTGTGTCTTGGTCACTTGTGTTTGCTGGCTGTGACACCAGGCACACGTGTCAGGGGGCTTCCTCTCACTGCTTTGGGTCATTCAAACCAAATTCTGTGGTTTATTCTTTCAGGTGCGGCCCAAACTGCCACTTCTGAAGATTCTGCAGGCTGCAGGCGCCCAGGGGGAAACCTTCACACTGAAGGAGGTGGGCTCAGCTTCGGGGCACTGGAAGGGTGCCCTTCCTTGGTTGTTTGGCAGGTGGCTCTTTGTGGGGAAGGGGTGGGACTGGCTGCTTTCAGTACTCTGAAGCCCTGTCTGCAAAACCAGGGATCCTAAGGGATAGCCATAGGATCAGCCATAGTGCTGATCGTAAATGGCTTTGAGAGCCCCTGGAGGAATTAGAATAGAAGAAAATGATTTATCCTGGAAAAACTGTCTTTAGAGAAAGCAGGGATGGGATAGCCACATCCCTGAGGGAGCGCAGGAGATGCCGTTCAATTGTCTTGCTCTCTGCTCAGTGCATGAAAGCCTCAAGAATTGGATTCCTGTTGAATTTTTCTTCCAACTTTCCTTTGAAATGGCCTGTCAGCTAAACCTCAGAGAATTCATTTCTTTTCAGCTTAAAATGCAATATGTGTACAAGATTAAAACCATGACACTGTAATTTACGAGAGTATCCTGTCTGCAAAGAATCACATGCACAGGGTTTTCATTATGAATGTGTCAGATACTCCTGCAGAGCCCCATGGCTTAGTTTAAATACTTAAAGGCATTGAAATAACTTATTTAGTTCCTAAAAAACTTTGCGAAACCAAATTGAATGGTTTAAATGGGGAGAGTTGAGTATTAAATGCAGGTTACTTGTATAGATTCATGTTTTAACTTGGTTAAGTCTGATCTGTTGTAGCTGGCAGTGTCCCCTGGCTCTCAGAGGATGTTTCCTCTCCGTCATTCTTTGTGATACCAATGCACTAGTTTTTCCTTCTTGTCAAGTGTTAATAGTTACAAACCTTATAGCAGTATGGTAAAGCATAACTCCCCCTTGGTTGGGAGACACCAACAATTTGCAGATGTGCATAAAAAGCAGGTACAATTTGACTCACACTATAGGGTAGCAGGATACAAGTATCAGAAACTAAAGCAAATGTACAGGGTCTTTTGTGGTTTGGTTTCAGCTGCAGATAGGGCTAACAGTATGTTATGTGTCCACAGGTTATGCATTACCTAGGACAGTATATCATGGTGAGGCAGCTATATGACAAAAGGCAGCAACACATGGTCTATTGTGGAGGAGATCAGCTGGGAGAACTGCTGGGATTGGAGAGCTTCTCTGTGAAAGATCCAAGGTAGGAAAAAGTCACCTTTGTAATGTTGTATTACAGAGGTTGCGGTGACAGGAAACTCTTGGTGTCACTGTTGCTGTTCATCATTGGATAAACCTTGTGAATACCAAGTGTTCTGCTCAGTGGCTTATTGATAATGCTCTTGACAAGTTTGAGCTGAGCTCCTTTGTTATCAAGAGCCTGTTCTGAATGGTGCAGACAGTGAGCTGCTGAAGGTGACATCTTTTCCCCCTTTTATTTCTGCATCTTCTCAGGCCCTTGATCTCACACGTGAGTAAAAATCTGTATCCTTCAGTTAAATTCTGAGCTAGACTTCTCTGTAGCAAGATTTTAGGAGTGGCAGAAAACCCCTCTGCAGTTCCCAGTCTGTCTGGTTAATAAAAGAGAGTTTCAATCCCTGGTTGAAAAGTGGAATGCTGTTTGGGATTGTGGATGTACTCAGCTGGCACCTTCTTTCCCACAGCCCAGTCTATGAGATGCTGAAACGGAACCTGACTTCTGCTGCAGTGGCAGGTAGGTTTGTCACAGTATGGGCAAGTATATTCAATGTAGTGTTGATGTAACTTGGGTAAGTAATGATATTCAGAAAAGAGAAATGTTTCTGAAGTTGAACCAAACTGCTGCTGAAGGCTTTGAGTAGACAATCTCGTTGAGTCTGTGTCTTTTCTGTGTGTGCACCATCAGTAGCTGTGATATGACATCAGTTAACTGTCTGAGTAACGTGGCTGCCTGTGACTTCTTTCTCTCACCTCATTTTATAGTTGGATAGTCTTGAGACAACATCAGAGTGCTGGAAACCCAGCCTGATTCTGCGAGCCAAGGAGGGCTGGACTTTAGTCAAACACTTGAGCCTTTAAAGGTGACTTTTGTTTTCCCAGCTCATAAGAGAAACCAAATCTATCTACATCAAAACCCCTTTAGTCATAAATTAAGATTTATTCTAACTTAATCTCAGCTGATGACTTCCTTGCAGCCAGAGCCCGTTATATGGGTGGTAATCTTCATTGGCTAAAAAGACTTCTGATGAAACTACAAGTGTGCAGATCATGAGGGAGTTGTGGAGTTGTGTGCCCTACTTCCTGAGGTCTCTCAGCAGATAGTATGGACTTGGTTCTTCATAAGGGCTTAGTCTGTATTTGCACATGTATACAAAAGCTTGTGCAAATTTAGAGACTGAGAAAACACAGCTCTGAAGTGCTCAGTTCTCTGCTTATATAGGAGAATCTTCCTAAATGGACTCGGTCTAAACACGTTACCTGCAGGATAACTGTGCTGTTTCCTTTACTGGTGATGCCCTGCCCTCTTCCCTACAGGCAGTGTATGTGGATCCCAGTGAAACCCTCTCCTCTGCTGCCCTGTCCCCTTTTACTTGGTGTGTGCCTGTGGCTGGGTGTGTGTGGCTGCGTGTGCGAGTGTGCTCCAGTCCTGGTGTAACTACCTTGAAACCTGCCAAAGGAAGCACTGTTCCTTTAGGGGCTATGATCCCTGAGTTATACCACTGTGTCTGCTTGTGTGTGTGTATGTGTGTGCATGATTTAAACGAAACACTCTTGGCAGACCTTTGACAAATACGTAGGTAAGATGACCCTAGGTGGTGTTTTACCTTCGTTGCAACATAGGAATAACTGGAAGTGCCATAGAGCTTGAAGAGGTCTTCATGTTCCATAATAGCTGCTTGTATTCATTAGTCAAATTAGAGCTTATGAGCACAGCATTTTGCAGGTTATCTCGCCCACTTCTTTTAAGTACACTTGTAGAAAGCAAGGGACTGCAGAACATCTTGGTAATAAAGAGGAAGCTCTGACAGAATGCTCTTTATCAGATGGTGCCCTTACTTAGCAAGCTTCTGCTTAAGTGACTCACCTGAGGTAGACTCAGGAATATCTCACTTTAAGGACATTTTGTATAGTATGTGTTGGCTTGAAGAAAGGAAGCCTTCCAGTAAGTGGAGTGTTTTTCCACACAGTATTTAAGGCTAATTTGCATTATTGCATTATAGTTTGTCATGTTAGAAGGGTCAGTCTTCACCTCTTCTAATATCACTGCAGAGCCAAACCACTTATGGACGAGCCAGTTGGCTTCTGTTTTCCTTCAGGTATTAAATAATCAGTGACTGCAGCAGCTGTAGGGTGATGGAAGAGAAGACAGGGAAGCTGAGCTAATGCATGGAGAGCAGACCATGTGAGACAGAACCATGTCGTGTGGTTCTGTATTCTGGTCCATTTTGTGGATACTTTGAGGTCCACTTTTCTGCCTATAGCAGCAGGTTTCAGTACCAGTGCTATGATTCATGAATGAATGGGACTGTTCCTGCCAGCCTGGCATTCAGCAGGGAATTTCCCTGCTGGATTAAAAGGAGATCCAGCAGGAGCCATGCTTCAATCTTTTTTTCTCTAGCACATCTTTCTGTTTAAAGGGTGACTTCACAAGTGCAGCTCTCCTATTGTGTAGGAAGATTTCTGGTAATGTGACTGTTCTTGCTGTTGAGGTTGGCCTTTTAATTAACTCTTGGGGCCAGCATAATCATCTGGATTAAATTGTGTTCCGGATGTGTACACAGTTACCCAGGGAAGAGCTTGCTGTGCATGGAATTTTCCCTCCTGTAGTCTAGGAATTGTTCTTCATGCCCAGGCTTTTAAGAAAGATGTTTTTCGGTCTCATCCTGAGGTGCAGGAGGTGGTGTCCTCAGGTATTTATAAAGATCTTCCTCTTATCTGTTCACCACCTTCAGCATGGATCTGATCCAGCCTTCACAAGAGGTCCCCACACTCTGCTGTTGCTCTGGGTTTCTGCCTCTGTGCAGATCTTTTGCAGAAAGGGCTTAGAGCTTGTGATGGCAGGACAGCCAGCAGGAAAAGTAGTTTTTCACCTTGGGAAGGAGGAGGTTCTGTGAGTTTTCATGAAGCTTCATCTCCAAGGAGGCACAGACTCTGGGTTGCATAGGCTAATGCCTCTGTGTGTACCTAGCAAAACTGGAGTAATGCCTCTCTAGGAGATGGCCAGCTCTCTTAAGGAAGAAAGAGCTCTCTGAAAGGCTTCCTTCGAGGTCTGCCAAGCCTGGCTCGTTGGTTGCTTGCTGAAGACCCTGTGTTGTGAGAATGGTTATTACCAGGGAAGGTTTTTTCTTTTGTTTTACCTGCCATCTAGATGCTGCACAGAGTCTCGCAAAGGAACAGAGCGTCGATAAGCCAAGCCAAGACCAGCTGAAGGTAAACCCACTGCCTGGTGGTTTCTTTTGTTGTACAGAGTGCCCCTTCTCTGTACCTGTGCATGGTGGACTGCCAGAACTTTGTGCTGCTTGGCTGCCAGGTCCTCACCTTCCTGAAAAGTTCTTGGAGTCCACAGAGCAGGGACAGAGTGACCCTTCTCTGTTCTCTTCATAACAGAGTACCAGTCTCTGAGCGCGTTTCTCGGGGTGTAGCACTTCTAGTCCTCAGTTCCTCCAGCGTGCTCTGTATTTTCATGTCTTTCCCCCGCTCTCTCCCACCCCTTCTCTGAGTAGGAATTGCCAAATAATTAAGCTTTCTAAAACGTGTGACCAAGTTTTGTGTTTAGGAGGATTGTTTTCAGAAGCTTTCAGGCAGAATCTGAAACCTAGGAAAAACCTTTGCACATTCAATATATCCAGGTATATTGTGGGATTCACTGGGTCTGATCCAGGAGGTGTCTGTTCACACTGGGGGCCAGAGAATCAGAAAAGATCATGGTGTCACTGCATTAAGATGGCAACTTTGGAACTTTTGCCACTCTTAAGGTTTTTCCTAGGTTGCAAGTGTATTGTTTGTGCTGGTACAGATGCATTAGCCTTCTTAAAGGGTTAATAGTGTGTAGTTGTTCAGAAACCTTTCATAACTTCTTGGTCTTGTACTGCAGCTGGTGACTCGGAATGGAAGTGCTACATCCCCTTGTCCCTATAAGCTCTGCTGGACTAACATCTCTTTTTTCCTTCCTTCATGCAGTTCAGCCAGCAAGAAGGTTCTGACCCTGGCATCATGGAAGGTGAAAGCAATCCTGCTGCTTTGTCTACCTCAGAGCAAAAATGTGAGCATTACGAAGGTGAGTGCCAGCTCTTCTGCAGTAACACAGTGTGTGCAGGCTCTTGTGCTGCTTCTCCAATGGGACACTTTGAGCTCTGCATCAGCAAAATGCTGGAAGAGGGTGTTGGGAGACTAATGAAAACCTGTTGTGGAATATAATCTTTAAAAATCAGAGGTTTATGCTAAAGATTGAGAGAACTGCAAATGCTCGCCAGAGGGGTTTGATGATAGATGTGTATTGTAGCTTGGCTATTTGGTCTCATAAATAAACAAACACTTTGAATAAAATGGCAGGTTAAGCCTCAAAACCACATCTGTCACTAAACAGTGCCATGAAAAATCTCACAGACCTTGCTGCAGGGTGTTGTAAATGTTGGAATTATACTTGCATCCATTTATCTTCCCAAGGGACTCTCTGCTCTGATTACACAGAACACAGCCTGAGCAGGCTGCTGTCATTATCTGCAAACCAGTCAGGGAACTGAATAACAATGGAATGCTTTTTCTCCCCAGCTTAAGTGTAATACAGCTCCTTCATATTTAGACATTTCCTTTGTTTTAATGTCTGGGGATTTCTTGCTGGTTCACTTGTATGAATTGCTGGATGTTATGGAAGCAATTTTCCTGTTGTTCTACTTTTCTGTTCTCATGTCGTCCTCATATCAAGGAACCTAATTTGTAAAACCAAATCTTTGCAAGAGTGGGTATTTCCAGATCAAATGAGAGTGGTAGATATTTTCCTGGCTGCAAGTACAAAAGAGATAGGAACAGTCCTTGTCTGTGCCTGTGAAACTCTTGGCACTGAACAGAGATAGATTCAAGGTTATCTTGAAATTCAGACTGGTGAGTTTAGGATCATAGACTAAACTACATGGGCTAAAAAGGAGGCTGAAGCATGAGGTTATGGAGGATGGATTCTTGCCTTCCTGCTTCTTTTGGGGCAAGTTTGAGAATTGAGGAGCTCCCATCACTGGGAATTTGAACTAATTTTGAAACAGTTCTGTCTGCATCTTAAGTCACTCAAGGCTCGGTGTTGACTTGGTTACATCTCTGAAAGAAGTGGTCATGGTTCTGTGTTGAGTCTTAAGGTAAAGCTGAAAAGGACCTGTACTGTTCGAGAAACACTGGGAGCACTGGGATGCTTCTATGCCTCTCACAGTCACTGGCTGTGCAGTGACTGTTGGGAGATGCATGAGTACAGATGTGTTGCAGATGTAACATCCCAGTGCACTCATGCAAATCCCAGAGCTTGTAGAGTAACTGGTTGTAAGGAGCAAGAAAGATTGCTAAAATGAGGTGGGGCCCAATTTTGCTCTGCTGGTCTCTTAAATAATGTAGGTGTGGCATGACTTAGATTCTACTTGGCTCTTACAGACAAAGACTTAATAGAAAACCTCTCTAAAAGCAAGAAGCCTAAACTGGACCTAGTGTTTGAGGAATGGGATGTAGCTGGTCTTCCATGGTGGTTTTTAGGCAACCTCAGAAGCAATTACAAGTCCAGAAGTAATGGATCAACAGATATTCAGACTAACCAGGTGTGTAGCCATTTTAAATAGGCGTGCTGTGTTCTCTTCCTCTCCTCTTTTGGGTTCCAAGTAAATAAATGATTCTTATTCTTTCTTTCCCCTTCCCACTCCAGGATTTTCAGCCTCTCTCTTGTGTGTTCCTGTCCTAGCCTTTCATATCAGGTGGATGGTTACCTTTAGTGCTCTGAAATAAACTAGGTGCTCTTGGGAGGCTGTGTTCAGCCCTTGGAGGTCCTTCTGCACTCCGGAGTACTGGTTGTATGTCAGGAGTTGCCCATCTTCTGGGTTCAGAGTTGTGTGCAGATGGTTGTAGTGTGGTGCCCAGCAGCTTATGGCTAGAAGGGGGAATCCTTTCCTTCCCAGGGGTGACTGGAGAAGCTGCCCAGGGCTGAGCAGGCTGTTAGTGATGAAAAGGGGAGAGGTGTGATAGCTGTGGTGCTGGTACTGCTGCTGAGCTCAGAGTGGTCTCCCCTGTTTGTTTACCAATAGGACATAGACACTGCCATCGTTTCGGATACTACTGATGACTTGTGGTTCCTTAATGAATGCTCATCGGATCAGAACAGTGCTGCAGTCAAGGTGGAAGCAGTTGACTGCGAGGAAGTGAAGGAAGGTGACCAAAAGGTACCTCTTCAAAGAGCCACAGTGCTTGGGTTCCACAGCCTGGCCTTGTTTAGTTGATCTCATGGTACTGTGCCTGTCTTGGAGGAGGTAGATCTATAACCATCCAGAGCTGAAAGGGTGAGATTGGTTATGAGTGTTGAAAGGATTGAGTTTCTTCCATGGAAATTAATAGGACCACTCAGGTGCGTATGTATGTGTATTTGTAAGGTTCTTGTGTGCATCAGGGAGAGGTTTGAGTTGACCGCAGGCAGACATGGCTGTAACTCAGCCTAGCAAGGCTTAGTAACGTTTTGTAATAGATTCAGTATATAAAATGGCTTTTGATTCACTTACAGAAATGACTTAATTATCACGGTGGTGATGTATTTCTTTTAGTTTTGGTGTACAGTGCCACCATAGATAGAGATGATTCCACCTCTTTAACAATGCTTCCACTCTTTCCAGGTGACTGAGGGTATCTGTTTGAATGACTTTGAAGATTCTCAATGCTTAAGTGATGACACAGATACAGAAGCTGCTTCTGAGGTAGGCATCCTTTAGGTCAGCATTCCTTGCTTGGAGTGTGCTGCATCCTTGCTATAGTAGTAAAAACCTCATCCTACAGCTGCTGCTGGTTGTGGTAGGAAAAGCTGATTCTTGCACAACTTTCAAAGGCCAACCCCCCCGACCCCCAATCAAGTCGAAAGCAGGTTTTTTATAAACTGCATTGAGGAATGTAGAGAAGTTGGCTTGACCTTTGGGATTAGAGAATCCACTCCTCATCTCACCCCATTTTGCTGAGATACTTTGGCCGTTGTCAGGAGGAGAGCCTGTGTACCTGCTTCTGTAATATCTTTGCCCTTGCAGTGCCTCTCTAAGGACAGAGCACAGCTCTTTTCCCCCTTTAAATGAAGAAGGTGGGAAGAGAGAATAAGCAGTAATTACTGGATTGTCACCACTTTCTACTACCCCATTCCTCACCTGAATTCCTTCATACTGAGGGACATAAAATCTGTATTCCTGCATATGTTCTGTTTTGATCCAAGTCTTTTCTTCCTGCCTTTTGGGGTTTTGTTGGAAGTCAGCAATGGTGTGTCATGATGCTCTTTGCTGCTGATGGCACCCTAAGTTTTAAGCTTAATTTTCTAGTCTGTGCACCGTTGACAAATAAAGATGTCCCTGGCACTGGACAGCTGAATCACAGCTCTGAACTTGGGCAGCTCTTGCCTTTGCTACGTGGGGTAGTCGAGTAAGCTGCTATTAGTTGTACAGATTGAGCAGATGCTAAGTGATTAGTGAGTCTGGGAAATGTATTCCTGACTGATTCCAGGAGCTCTACGCTTGAATTTAGAGTGAGATGCTGAAAATTCAATAAACTGCACAGCTTGAGAACATTGTATTCTTCCAAAGTGCTGAAGGCCGGGAGGGAGGAAGGGCATATTTTAATGCGTAAGAGATCTGCATCTGTAAAATGCACAGGGGTGGCCAGATTCTCTTCAAGCTTTCGAGCTGGTGATAATCAAACCAGCAATCACACATTCACCAGCTTATGCTTGATATTAAATGTCCTTTTTTGATGAATCTTACTAGCTTCTTTTCCTGTGTAGAGGAAATGAGTTGTATGCAGGAATACTCTAACTTCTGCTGTTTTCGTCTGCCTCACTCATTCCTCAGGACTGTTGGCAATGCACCAAATGCAAGAAGTTTAACTCTCCAGGCAAACGGTACTGTTACCGCTGCTGGGCCTTGCGGAAAGACTGGTACTCAGATTGTCCCAAACTGGTTCATTCTCTTTCCCTGTCCAGCATTGATGCTATCCAAAACAAACAGGATGATGAAGCGATCGATGTCCCGGACTGCCGAAGGACTATTTCAGCTCCAGTTGGCCAACCCAAAGAGCTGTACGTGGTAGAAACCAAATCACGTGTAGATCCCCGCAGCTCTATTGAGTCTTTGGATTTGGCACAGGAATGTGAAAGCCAGGAGTCTTTGTTGCATTTCACTGAGCATAAAAAGGAGGAGGAAATTCAGTCTTTAGAGAGTATCAAAAAATTGCTGAACCCTTGCTTCCTGTGCCATCACAGACCACGGGATGGGAATATTGTCCATGGAAGGACTGCTCATCTTGTGGCCTGTTTCAAGTGTGCAAAGATGCTGAAGAAAAAGAGATCACCGTGCCCTGTGTGCAGGAAAGACATTGAGATGGTGATCAGGATCTTTATGGGGTAGTTGTGCGAGTTCAGGCCTTCTCCCCCAAAAGATTGCACACAGGTTTCCTTGCACTCACACCAACCCTGACTTCAGAGCTCAGACAGGGAATACCAAAGAGAAGTAAGATTCAAATCTGACCAAGAGCATGGAGAAATCCTTTACATTCAATGAAGCAGCATCCACATTTCAAATGTCCATTTAAATTAAAGCCCATGGGGAGCAGGGAGCAACTGGCACATTGGTATCTCAACATCCCAGCTTTGAAGTTGTCTAAATGTTCTGATTTCAGCTCAGTGCTGTCACTGGGATGCTCTGTTCTGACAACTGGCTCTTGAAGAAAGCAAGTTTTGGAAAGAGTTAGAACTTTGGCTGCTGGAGTGGTGTTCTCCGGTGAGTCAAACCCTGTGCAGTGCCTTTGAAGGGGGGAGTCTGCCTCTGAGATGCATACATATATGCAGGGGTGGGAAAGAGGGTCCAAGCATCAGTTCTCCTCAGGGCAGTGAGAACTAAACAACCTGGCTTCTGATTCTTTCGTGTGGTTTAACGTAGGTTTGTTAGATAAGGTGAAGGTCCTTCTGCTACCAGTCTTGAAATAAGCCCTCCCAGATTTTTAATCCATAGCTATCTCAGGTCCCAGATCAGATGGCAACAGCATAGGCTGTTAGGTTTTGCTTTGATATTGGATCTTTTCATTGGTATCGATTCTTCTTTTTCCCATTTAAATCCAGGTCTATGTCACCTAGCATAGCTTTGCTGAAGCCTGTCCAGCATTAGCTCAGAATCTGTTCTGCCAGCTGGATTAATTGAGAGCTCTGTGCATGTTTGGGGATGTTCTCATAGCTCTGTGCTTACAGCACCGTTGCAGCTCCTGTCTGCCTCATCTTGTCAGATTAAATATGCTCAATTCAGAGCATGATGTAGTTTTAAAGACAGGATATGAGCCTCTGAGGTAAAAAAATGGTGATTTCTGTAAAGCACTGACTGCAGCTGGTTAGTCTGTGGGCTGTGCTTGGTGTTAGTCTGAGATCACATCCTAGAGTGTGTGCTCAAACCTTTTTGTTCTGCAGGGTTTTGGAGGGCCTGTATCATGCAGCAGTAGCAATAGTGCCTTCACCATTCAGGTACACAGGCATTTGCATTCAGTACAGTGCATAGAATAAACCCTGTTTCATCATCTCTAGAATTCCCTCTCTAGTCTAAGAAGCACACCTGAAGACAGAAAAAGAGAAGGTGATGCTCATACCTTGGTGCTTCTCTAGGCTGTTCCCCTTGTCTCCACACTCCGTGCATGGGTCCAGCCCCGCAGGTCAGGGGTGCAATGAGACACCCGGATCCTGTCCAGCAGAAGGTCCTGATGGTAGAGTTGTTTCTCTGCAAAGATAACAGAGTAGGTGCTATATACAATCACTGCCTATCACTGCCAAAAGTCAGATCAACTTCATGTTTTGCATAGTGTTGTGATGATTTCTCTGTTGGCTGTACTTTAGACTGTTGTTGTTGGCTGTTATTTACAGTTGTGTTTTAACTGTTGGAGGATACCTGGTGTTTAGGTGTACTATCTGTAAGTCCATGGGAATCAATCCACATGGAAAAGCTGATTTATTGCTCCCTTAACTAAAGGGCTTTTCAATTGCTGGTGATGCACTTTAGTCATGCTGAGATCAGCAGCGTGGAATCACCGAAGGGAGTTCCTGCTGGCTAGTTCCTGTCCTTGGGAGGCTATCAGGCTCCGCAGGGCACAGGGTGGCACTTTGTGGCACTTCTGAATGCTGTGAATTCCCCCTCGCCCCGATAGCTTCTAAGAACTGAATGTTTGCTAAAAGCAGGTTTAGGGAATTGTTCCGGTCTCGCTGCACTGAAAAGCATGTGATTTGTGGTGATCAAAACCCAAAAAGTCCAGAGCGTTTAAGTTTCGATAATGGGCTGGAATGTCTCTACCAAGCCCCTTCTGAAGGGCTGTGTGCACTTCCCATTACCAAGTTGTTTTCAGTGTGGCAGTTCAGGATAAGGAGCAAATTGCAAGAAAAGTTGGAGTGTAACAATCTCTGTGACTTCTTGTTCAGTAGAACCACGGTGTTTACAACCTGCATTTGTCAAGTTCTTCTTTCTTTTTAGCTGAAGTACTAGTGGACATAAGATGATGTTACTGTTGATTTTCCTTCCTATAGAAGAATAAGCTATTGCAGTGCAAGCACACCATGTGTAGCTGTAACTGCCCAGGTTGTGGCTGGGGCTTGGAGGCTGGGGAGAGGTTTAGTGCAGGGAAAGGAGAGAAGAATGTTCTATTGCTTTAAGTCTAAATAAGTAGCAATGTACCAAGAGCTGCTCTTCTGGCACTAGTTAGGAAGGGCAGATTTCAGGTGTGGTTGAAGTAGCTCAAAGCATGCAGTGATCACCCTGAGCTTACAGCACAGACGGGACATTGGCCAGGAAGCGTTGTCACCTCTTTTCTCCAGATGTGGCTGTTAATGTGGGGTCCCAGTTCAGAAACTCTGTTCTTCTGGAGGTGCTGAGCATTTGCCTGTCTCACGTAGATGAATTCAGAGCTCAGGGGGTGGACTTTGGTTCTCTGAATATTCCATTGGTGTCTGATAGCAGATGAGTTCTTCTCTCACAGTGGGTTTACTATGAAGTGCAATATGAGAGGAGAGCTCCTTGGTAACCTCCAGCAGTGATTGCAGCACATCTCCTAGGAGCAGAGTTGGCTGGCAATGCCCAGACTAAAAAGGTTTATCTGTTTCACTGCTCTTTTTGTCTTCAGAGACATTGGTTGCTGTTCCTCAGGAGCCTGCTGAGGTCTCTTGGCACAAGTGTACTGTAGGTCAGGTTTCACGTACTGATCCCTCTGCTTTTCAGCCACTTTTGCCTCCAGTTATCCCCAGAACCAGCGAAATCCTTCCTTTGGTGGGTACTTAAGTTCGGTGTGGGAACTGTAGAGTGCCATTGAGCACATTAAAGTGCTCTGCAGCATGAAACCACACGTGTAGGTAAATGCTCAGTATTGGCAGCCAGAGGTACACACGTCGCATTTGCTCTTCTCAGTGACTGTTTGCTGACGCACAGCAGCCTTTGCTTCAGCTCTTCACAAACCTCAGCATCCCTCTGCTGAGATGGATTGTGGAGCCAGCTTAGCCTAAAGAAAGCCGCTACATGAGGTACAAAGATCCTTTGGAGCAGCCCCCTGGAATGCTTACTCTAAGCAGTTACCATGAGGACAGCTATGAACTTTCTGACTGTGTTACATATCTATTATGGTGCATGACTGTGATGGAGACCATAGTGCAGCTTCCCAGGGGCTGTTCCATCCTCCTGCATCTAGCAGGATGATTATATCTGGCACTGAGCAGTCTTCTCAAGAGCAAGAACGAGACCCACACATTATACAGGGGTGATAAACTGTGTTTGGAACAGCTCCAGAAGCACAGGTGACCTTTGGGCAGCAGCTTTTCTGCTCTGGAAGCCCTGCTTCAGTTACCTGTCTGCAGTGACTGGACTTTTCCTTGCTCCTCTGAAGAGGTGGAATTCCAAGTCCACGGTAGTGTCTGGCCATCTGCCACAGGCTGGTTACACATCCCATCCACTTGCTCTCTGCACCTTATTAACAGGCAGCTTTGTGATCGCAGTCCTGCTTTCCTGTGCTCTTTTACCCTGGGTACATGCACTTGCTGCCCACCCATGTGTGGGACACCCCATGCCTGCTGCACGGAGTGGATGCTTCGGGAAGATGCAGCCCACTGACCTCTGCAGTTACCTTCTGCATCTCCAACCCTTAGAAGACACAACCAATCTGAGGAGCAGCCCAAAGGCAGGAACACGTCGTACCTCTGGCTGAAAGACTTGCTGGCTGGAAAGGGGGATTTCCTGCCGGAGCTCCCCCAGTGCTCCCAAATCCTGGTGTAGAGCAGCATACCACCCTGCACCCGCAGGCAGTGCCGCAGTCACGAGCAGGAGTGCTTGCTCCATCTAACAACCATCTCTGTGTTTGCACTATTGAAAGTGGGCGTGAATCGCAGAATGAGCTGGGTTTGTGTCCTGTGTGTAATGAATTGAATTAAATTGAGCACGTTCTGTGATAATTTGGGTTCTTCTGTCTTTCATTTGTGCTGTTTCAGAGAAAACCATAGAGTCAAGGCCTGTTCCCAGTTAAGGAACCTGTGATCTTCCTGCATGCCCAGTTCCAGGGAGGGAGGACTGACCTCCCATCCCTCCCAGCACACGTCTCCCTACAACAAGGTAGGAGATGGTGGAAGCCATCGGGAGCCACAGAAGGGGAACGGCTTCGGCTTCATCTCCCGAGCCAGGCTAAGTACTTGCTGGGTTCGTTCCCAGTTGGTTGCCAGGGCCCATCACCACCACAGGAGGGCCCCCACCAGCCGTGCAGGGCACAGAGCGAGGCGCTGGCAGCTCCGGGGTGCACAGACCCCACCTTTCAGCTGGCACAAGTGAGGGACACCAGTCCCATGGGCTGTGTTTGGCTTTCCTTGGGTTCCTCCTGGCTCACGATGCCGGTGGAGCCCAGGAAACCAAATGAGCTCTGCCCATCTGTTGTAACCCAGCCCCACACAGGCCCAGCAGTGATTGATCCCTTGCCAAGGAGGAGAGGCTGCTTCACAATGCAGAGCACCTTGATGGCTTTGTAGGAAGACCACAGAGCTCCAGCTGCGGTGCCAGGAGAGCCAGAGCTGGTTCCCTGCTCCCTGACGTGCGGACACCTCTGGCAGATCTGGTTGTATTCATTGTCCTGCCCTTGCTTGTTCCCTGCCTGTTCTGAGGAGCAGCTTCAGGCAGGGCTGGTGCCTGTTGGCTGGGCCGCATCCAGCCCTGCAGCAGCTCCAAGAACAGCAGCTGGACTCTGCCAGGCTTAAACCTGCAGCAGGGCAGCTCCTGGCTCTGCCCCAGCAATGCCCAAAGCTGCTGCTCGCCCTGGGGGTTTTCCACAGGACCCAGACCCGGGCGATGGTGCCCATCCCATCTTTAACCATTTCCTCTGGCTGTTGCCCCCTCCTCCACATCTCCCCATATCGAGTCCCTGCCAAAACCTTGTATTCCCTGAGCCCTCATCCAGCCCTGGGGAAAGCCCCCAGATGGGGCCCTCCTCACCCCACGGCAGCCCCACGCTCACTGCCTGCTGCTGCTGCCACTGAGCTGGGCTCCTTGTAATTCCCTGTTAACACAGAAGAGAAGGCTCTGGGAAAGCCTTAGAACAGCTCCAGTGCCTAAAGGGGCTCCAGGAAACCTGGAGAGGGGCTTTGGACAAGGGCCTGTAGGGACAGGCCAAGGGGAATGGCTTTAACCTGCCAGAGGGGAGACTGAGATGAGCTCTTAGGCAGAAGCTCTTCCCTGTGAGGGTGCTGAGGCGCTGGCACAGGGTGCCCAGAGAAGCTGTGGCTGCCCCATCCCTGGCAGTGCTCAAGGCCAGGCTGGAGCCACCTGATTTGCTGTGGGAGCAGAGCCAGAATGGGAGCAGGAGGCTCCCACACCCTCACTCACTGTGGGGTTGGGCCCCAACATGCCCCCCGTGTACACTGGGTTCTGAATCAATGATTTAAGCCTGCCCGGGCAGGAGGAGCAGCCCCAGCAGCGAGTACCCACCTCAGCAGCACCCATGCTCCATTGGCATCACTGATGGCTCCAAGTCCTTGGTCCTCCAGAGACCCCAGTGCTATGGGGCAGGCCCAGCCCACAACAGCATCCCCTGCAAATGGTGATCACTCCTGCAAGGTCAGAGCTTTTCTAGCCTCATGCTCCAAACAACCCCATGCCACCACCCTGCTGCTTCCCATCAGCCTGAATTTAGCCCCAGTTACCCACTTGAACACAGCTGAATCCATTTCCTTGGTGAATGATGAGCTCCAATCACCCCTGTGCCATCCCCTCTTCCTTTCCTTGGTGACTTCTGGATGGAAAGGCTGAAGAAGCGCTTGCTCCTGACCTCAGGGTGTGCTTGGAAGGGGAAAAGGGCCTTATGAAGACCATAAATCACTGAGCAGCTCTGTGCCTCAGTTTCCCCACCTGTAGATCAGCGCTAAGGGAGGGAGGGAGTGCAGCACTGGGAAGGAGGCTGCCTGCCCTGGACATTGACCGGTAGATTGTCCTAAAGGTTCTGAAAGCTGCTTCATCCGAATGGCATCATCCACATGGATCACCCCACTGGCACTGCCCGAGGGGTGCTTTGATTTCAATCATCCCTGAGGAAGCGCTGGTGAGGAGAGGCGTGCTTTGATTCCTTAATGCATTAATCAATAGGTGCCCATCAAGCCTCTGGAGCAGGCAAGGGGGGCACTGAGGACTGGGCATCTCCACCATGGGACCCACGGCAGGTCCAAGGGCTCTGTGAAAGAAGGACACAGGGATAGAACCACTCCAAAAATCACTTTTATTGGGTGCTTAAAATAGAGGCTGGCACACAATGTTCTCGCTTGGCTTTGCTGGGAGAAGCTGAGTTGCATGGAATCCACGATGCTGCTTGCACTGAGGAGGAGGGAGAGGGGCAGAAGCAGGGGAATGAGGGATTTTCTGTCTCTCCTCAAATGAAGGCAATAAATACATTATGAAAGAAAGAAAAAGTTAAACCTGAGGAGCAGCTCAGGAGAGTGGTTCATGGGGGGGAGACCGGTGCCCCGAGGTGGGACCTGGTGGGACAGGCTGGAGGAGAAGCGTTTCCCAAACAAGCCTTTGACATCCTGGATGGATGGGAGAGAGGGAGGGAGAGGACAGGAGGTCATGGACCCACCCCTACTCTTCACCTGAGCATCTCTGAGAGCTGCATCCCTGCGCAGTGCCCTGGGATGGAGCCTGCTGCTCCCTGTGCCCAGTGAAGCTGTTTCAGTGCTGAATCCCTTCTGCTGCTTAAACCCCATCACCTTGTTCTACCTGGAGTTGCCTTTTTACTGTGTCAGGGTCCTCTGGACCCTTCAAAGCCCCAGCAATTAGGCACAACCAGCTCCACCCCAGGGAGTCCGCATCCACATGGAGACACCAACTCCTGGGGTACCTTCACCCCATCACCCCCAGGGCTGGCTGGGATGGGTCTTCCTGATCTTTCCCATGGGAGGACCCTGGGCAAGGTGCTGGCTGAGCTCCATGTGCACTGTGCCGACACCACGGGGCTGCACCAGGCTCTGGTGTGTGTTGATAAAGGCACGTTGTGTTTGGGGCTGCAGCGACCCAGCCCAGAATCCTTCCCGCTAACAGGCAGGGGCGAGGTGCAGGCCCAAGCAAAGGAATGGCTCGTTCACATGAACCAGGGAGAGGAGCATCGCTGCAGCATCAGATTCGGCTTCGCTGCATCCCTCGGTTTGGCACATCCCAGGGGATAGCGGTGCATCCTCCCCTTCACAAGCCCAGGGATGCAGAGGGTGCAGGGGCTGTTCCACAGAGCCCGCAGCCTCTGCAAGGGGCTCCTGCCATGACGCCCTGCAGTCACTCACCAGAACACAAAGGATTTACTTCCTTTTTTTCCTTAAACAAGACCAGAAAAGCAAAATCCTCCCCTTTTCTTCCCAGTTTTCCTCTTTTTTCCTTCTTCAACATCACCCACAGGTTCACAAAGCAGCTTTGAGCTCACACCAGGAGGCAGGATCCCACCCGCTCCAGCCAGCCCCATGGGGATGCCAACTGAGAGATGTGTCACCATCAGCATCTCTGTTGTTTTACCCTCCTCTCCCTTCTGCTTCCCTTCAGCGAGCGACAGGGCAGGGAGGTGCTGGGGGGGGGGTTGTGGCTGATTATCTCAATGCTCAAAAAACAACCCAAAAAAGGAGCAAAGAGGAGATGTATCCCAAAGGAAAAGGCCTTTTTGTATTTCCAGAGCAGGGAGTGCCCAGCGGAGGAGCCGACGCCGCTGCAGTGTCTGTGGTGCCATGGGACATGGGACGGAAGGGGTGATACTCTGATCACCTGTATGGCTCTTCGACCGCTCAGGGCATCGTCCCCTGGGGCCCCGCTGAGCCCTCCCGGCTGCTCCGGAGCTGTGCCCAGGCCCAGACCCTGCACATGGATCCGGACCCTGCCAGGACCCTGAGGCGGCAGTACCAGCCCCGCTGCTCTCCCATCGACCCGAACTCACATCCATGGAATTCCCGGGGGTTTGTTCAGTTCAGGGGTTTTTGGTAAAAAATAGTTTCTCCCTCCCTGCCCTACCCCCCCCCCCAACCCCTCCCAACCCCCCCAGGTCCCCCAGCCCCACAGCAGCCCCACAGCAGCCCTCAGCAGTCCGGGGGGGCTGCCTGCACCTTCACAGCCAGGATCTGCCCCCCACGCTGCCCCCGAGCCCAGGGCTGGCTGAAGGGGGGGTAGACCACGCGCATGGCCATGGTCCCCCGCGGCGCTGCCCCGGTGCCGTAGTGAGCCACGAGGCCGGCGGCGAGGAGCAGGAGGCAGAGGACCAGCACCATCAGGATGCTCCGCCTGCCCTCCAGGAGCAGGTAGCGTGGGGCAGCCTCCTTAGTCCTGGCACTCACACAAGCCACCTTGGTCTGCAAGTCTACAAAGGCCACGTGGAGGCAAGCCCAGTACTCGGTGTCCTGGTGGAGGCGGGTGATGTTGTACGAGTGGGTGCCCATGGGGATCCGCGCCACGTTGGTCATGTCCAGGTTAGAGCTAAGCAAGAAGCTGGACCAGGTGAGGTTGGAGGAGACGGTGTTGAGATGCGGCTTCCAGGCAACCAGGACGTGGTAGGCCTGGACGTCGGCCACCACCAGCTCCAGGCTGTCCTCGCTGAGCGGGAAGGAATGGTTGACCGTGATGCTGATGCTCTTGATGTCTGCCCCGACGAGGTTGTGAGCCACGCACGTGTAGAGCCCGGCCTCGCGAGCCGAGATCCCACGGATCTCCAGGGTCCCCTCTGGATGCAGCCGGTACCGCCCCTCTTCCGTGTAGGGCATCAGCTTCACCCCTGAAGGGGTGACCCAGTAGATCTCTGGGTCGGGCTCTGCCAGAGCTCGGCAATGCAAGGAGACGTTGTCACCGTCGGCCGCCTCCAGGCGGGAGGGGAAGCTCCGGCTGGAGATGAGCGGCAGGCACTGGTCTGTCATCTCCCGGAAGGGCACATCCCGGATGTGCCTCCGCTTGAGGT